GCCACAGAAAACAAAACAAAAACAAAAAAACAGAGCTATGTTGTTTGTTTGTTTGTTAAAAACAACAACAACAACAACAACAAAAAACACTTTAATATTCTGTACAGAAGCTCTGCAAGCTGAGATAGTCAGGTCCCAGTCTTGACCTCCACCACTTCTGCCACTGCTCCGAAGCCCACCCCCTCCTGGATGATGACCACGTCACTTGGTGAGCCCTAGTCCTGCACAATAATGCACTTGTCCTCGTGCTTGGAGATGGTGATTTCAATGATGTCCTTTGTCGATGACAAATGCTCAGGGCTGCCCTGGGGCTGATAAGCAGCAATGCAGTGACCACTGGCTGTGATCAGGAGCTCTGCCTCATTGTCTGGCACTGCCACCTCCTCCCCTTGGTGGCTTTTCTTCTGAGGCCTTCTCCTTGCTGCCTGGGGTAGGTCCACAGCAAGAGAGGCCCCTGTGGTGTTCAGTTCCTCAGGGTCTTTTTCCGCCTTGTGGGTGAGCATATGGCGCACCAGGCTCTGCGAAAGGTTGTAGCCCATGCTGCAGAGCTCACATTGGTAGGGCTTGTCAGCCAGGTGGCACTTCTGGTGGCGCCGCAGCTTGGTGGCCAGGGTGTAGGACTTGCCGCAGTGCTCGCAGGAGAAGGGGCGCTGCCTGCTGTGCAGGACCCGGTGCTCCTGCAGGTCACACTTCGTGTGGTACGCCTTGTCGCACTGGGGGCACTCGAAAGGCCGCACGCCCCGGTGGGCCAACAGGTGGGCTTTGAAGCTCTCCTCCGAGCTGCAGCTCTTGCCACACTCCGTGCAGAGGAAGGGTTTGTGGCCAGCGTGGACGAAACGATGCTTCTTGAGGTGGCAGAGCTGCAGGAAGGCTTTGCCACACTCCCCACACCGGTACCTGCGCCTGGCCAGCTCCTTGTGGGACAGGACACCTGGTGGGGGGGCCGGGCTGCCAGCATGACCCCGCACCAGCTCCATGCAGTCCTCCTGCTCTCCAGGCTGCTCCACTGAGCCCTTTTCCCCATGCTCCGGGGATCCCAGCTTGGAGGCTTCGCAAACTTTGCTTTCTTTCCTGCAAGTCCCTATATCCTCTCCTGAAGGCCTGGGCTGCCGGGGTTCTTCCCCAGCTGTCCTGGCCCCACAGCCCTTAAGGCACTTCTGGAGCTGCCCACTTGAGGGCAATGACAGCTCCCGGTCTCCCGAGCACGCCTCTTTTTGCTCCATCTCCACTTTTCGTGCCGCGGATCTCGACTCCTCACCCTTGCCCAGTCCTTGCCCTTGGCATTAACTCTCGGGACGGCCTGGAGGTGCCGATTCCCGGCCCGTGGCACTTTGTCTCTCCACAGCTCATGTTTTGGCAGCGGGGCTCTCCCCTCCTCGCTTCGGCGCCGGGCTCCAGCCCGCTCCGTGCTGCCGGGGGGGAGGCGGCCGGGGCGGGGAGCGTTCCCCCGGCGACACGCCGCCCTTCCGCCGGATACGGGGCGGCCGGCAGGGCCGGGAGGAGGCCGCTGGAGGGCCGCAGGTACCGGTGGAAAGGGGGGGACACGGGGCTGGGAGCGGGGCGTGAGGAGACGGGGAGAGGGGCAGAGGGCGGCGGGGCGCTGCCTGCCCCCGCGCCTCAGCGGCGCGGCTGCGTGTGAGCGGCTGCCCGTGAGGGGACGCTGAGCCCTTTTCCTGGTGAGTCGCAGCCTTAATGTAAGGCTTTGAGGTCTGCTGCTGAGGAGCTGGCTGCCTTTTGTTGTGTTACGAGGAGAGGAGCCCTCCAGAGGGGCTGTGCCTCACAGGAACGCTGCCTGCTGAGGTGTCCGTCGCTGTTACTGACCGGTGGGTGCAGCGAAACAGGCGTTGGGGCAAATAAAACCAAGCTGGGAGGAGCTGGCGGTGGCAGCACAGGCAGAAAAATCACTGAGACACCCCAGGACTGGGATTCCTGCTTGGCTGGAGCGTGGCTGTGGTAATTGGTTGGGGAGAAGGAGCCATTGGCCTTTTGGTGGTGTTCTCGGGTGGAAGGACGGGCCCGGGGGGTGCTAACGCGCGTCCCATGTGCAGGTTTACTTCGGGATTAATAGTAGGGCTGGAAGAAAAACAGGAAAAGGAAACTGCAGAGGAGGTACGGTTTAGAAACAAGTGATGGCAAAGCGGTGAAACTGGAATTGGAAAAAAAAAACACCACCAAAAAGTCTGTGTGAACAGCAGCCACCAGCACGTCATCAATACCAGAGAGCTGCCTTCCCTGGGTGAATTCTGGTAGGATCTTGTACAGGGAGTGTCCAGCAATAAAAACTGTTTTAAAGGGCCGGGGTTTCTCTCTTTCTGCAGAACGTGCTGTTCTGCACATCTCTGTGTTAGCCAAAAAGTCAGTTTTTATTAGAGAGCCAAGGACGTGGCTCAGCAAGCATTGAGATCACCAGGAAAGGTGCAGAAAACACTTGGAAAAATGGAAGGAGTTGTCTTGTTAGAGCCTGGCTTCTGGTGTCAGGAGTGATTCTTGAGTTTTTAAATGCTTGAGCAGGCTTCGTACTTTTTAAATCTAGCTGCATCGCTTTCCTTACATTTTCATTGGCTGTGCAGGGTGTGCGATTTGCATCTTGTCGGGACATTTATCTAAGAACCGTGGGGCTCTTAAATTGTGTTACATCTGCTAAAATGCTGGTGGGTTTTTTTGACAGCTACTTCACCCTTACACTGACGCAGGAGCACTTTCTGTTTAACAACAGGTCCTGCTTCCAGGTCAGTTTTGGCTAGACAGGGAAAAGATCTTGTGCAGCTGTTCTGTCAGAAAATAAAATGCATGCCCTCATGCTAAGATCCCTATTTAATTTCTTACATCTGAACCTTCAGCTCCAGGTCTCTTTCTCAGTGCCCACTAGTTCCTGGGCACTGAGAGGGTTGTGTTTCTCTGAACTGCTCTGATGTGGGAGATGCTGTGCTTTTGGCTTTTGCACAGTTGGTAAAGGACTGGGGGAAATTCTGTGAGAAGCCTTCTGGAATCCCCTGGGCCCTACAGGCTGGTTCACAAGCAGAGGCTGCGATCTGTGAGGACTGGATCCTCTTTCCATTAACATTTCTGTCGTGAAGCACTAATCTAGAGCCGAGCAATGGAGCTGCCTGCCCCGTAGTGAAAAAAAAAAGCAGATACCTGGCAAGTCTGGCAAGGGGTAAGGACAGTTTTGGCAAGAGGCTATGTTGGCTCCTTTTGCAGTGTGGAACTGTAAGGATCCTAGCGATGACTTCCTTCTACCTCGTGGTGCCACACTAGGATTAATTTCAGGAGCATGCCCAAGGGGAAGTCCCCCGGTGGTGTCCAACAACCTGCCCTTGTGCCCTGGTGAAGCGTTGCCAGGTGTCTCCGAAGCCAAGTCATGATCCTTGGAGCGAGAAGTGAGGAGACCTGGTGGCTTGCTGGCCCCATGGGAGTGCTGCCGCTGCTCTGTAGGAAGATTTGGGTTTGGCCCCTGAGCACTTCGGGACCTTGCTCTGGGGATGCGGTTGCTGTGGGGCATTCTGGAGAACTGGAAGGTGTCTCAATAGGTCAGTGGGTGCAGGTAGGTCCTCTGTCCCCACCGGGGCTGGGAATTCCCTGGGAACTGGGTGCACTCGGGGCCCACACGCAGCAGGCCGCCCTGTGGGGCCGTGGATGCTGGCTTGTGGGGCCACTGAGCCGCAGCGGGGAGCGCTTTAAAAGCACACTGAGTCACAGGCACTGGTGCCTGGCGTTACCATAGGAATCCGAGCAGTTGCTAGGGGTGGGGAGCTGGCTGTCACTCGGCCCTGCTGCTGCGTGGTTCCAGCATGAGCTCATGGTGCAGAGGAACCTGATTTCTTGCTCCCTGCCACTGTGAGAGCAGAGGTCAGACAGCTCTCAGCCCTTGTGGGAGGAGGGCAGGGAATAACTTTGCCTGGGCCTCCGCTCGGCTGCTATACTCAGACCCCTCGTGCTTGCCATTCCGCTGTGGTGATCCACTGCTGTGTGTGTCTTGCTCTTTCTTGTTTTGGGAATCCAATTTCTTTTGCTTAGCCATAGCTCCCAGCCCCCTGGGAGCCCGTGAGAAGTGAAAACTGGTTGTAAACTGATGAGTAAGAGAGAACACCTCCCGTCCTCCCAGGGAGTAATCCAGGGACAGGGGGCAAATGCCGACTGTCCAGTTCTGTGCTCACATCCCCGTGGCTGCCTGCTCATCTTCTCTGGATGGATGCACACGTTCAAGCTCTGGGGATGGAAGATGCAAAACATCGTCGCCCCACTCCATTCTGCTAAAGGAAATAGCCTTGCTCTGGGTGTCATCTTTCCACAGAGAGGTGTTGTGCCTCCTCTGATCATCTTTGAACCCTGCGCTCCCCTCGTAATGGAAAACAAGCACGAGCCTGCCCGCGAACCAGCATTACAGAGAATCTTGCTGATGCAAGGTGTCAGTTTGTTTTGCTACAGTTCCTCTTGGCTCGCGGCCTGTTGGCCCTGAGCTGCTGTCCCTGTGGTGATGCTGGCTTTGCTCGGTGTGAGCAGTCGAGGTCTGCCTGTCTGTCCTGCCAGTATTTCCTTGCTTATTTCCAGGAGACTGACATTAGAGGGCACCAGCAGTTCCCTAGGGGTCTCCCAAAGAGCTGGTACCCTTGGAGGGTGCTGCGTGCTGTGCCAGCTCAGAGCTGGGTCTGACAGAGCATCTGCTCCAGGTGGGAGTGAGAAAATCCTTCGAAAATCCTGTTTTGAGAAACTCGGAGCTGTTCACTTGTGCGTGCAGATCCCAGCACACCGAGGCACCCACGTTGGTGTTGCTGAGAGCTCTGGCCCTCCCCTGTGGGGAGAAGGGGGGGTGATTCCTGGGAAAGCTTCCAGCGCTGGGCCAACTGTGGAAAGGGCTGGGCTTTGTGCCAGCCCTTCGGAGGGAGGGGGAGCTCTTAGCTGCAGTGAGTGTGTCAGGCAGGGGCTGGCATAGCCTGTCGCCTTCCTGGGCAGCTCGCTGCTGCTCCTGTGCCAGGAGAGAGACTGATCTGGACACAGCTGTGGTCAAGCAGAGCCTCACCGAGCGGGTTGGTACAGGCTCCTGACGGCCTTTTGGGAGCAACTGGCACAAAAAAGCTGACATATGTCGGTGCTGCTGGGAGAAGGAGGAGTTCCTGCTTGCCTTGAGGGGGAGGGGAAGCACAATCTTGGGGTAGGTGAAGAAAAGGCGGGCTTGGGGGAAAATCAGGGAGAAGAGGAAGAGCCTCTTTGGGGAGGGAAACTCGTGGTCTCGGTGTCTCACCTAGCCATCTCTGCAGTCCGTGTTCTAGGTGCTGCAGGACAGACGGTGGTTTTTGGGCACCATGGCTACAGACCCACTCTCAGAGCTTCAGGATGACCTGAACTTGGATGATACCAACCAGTCCCTCAGCCAGCTCAAACTGGCCTCCATAGATGATAAGAACTGGCCAGCAGATGAAGTCCCTGCGTTCCCCAAATCAGGTAAGTGTCCTAATAATTTGAGGGCTGGCTTGAGGCCAAAAAGGAGTTGTTTGTCCTGCATCATTGTGGTCAGATCTGCACGCAGACAGAGTCCCAGCTCCATCTAAAAGCTTTATAGACCCATTACTGTTGCACCACGCCCGAGTGAATTAGCCCTGCCATTGAATAGCACTGAAAGCTCCGAGCCAGCTGCTGTAAATGTATTCTTTGTAAATATATTCTTCTCAGTTCTGGCACTGGCTGCGCTTTGATGGTGACAGTATGGACACGCTGTAAATCCTTGAGTGTCCTCTGTTATGGTCTCTTGCAGGACAGTTTGATCTTCCTGGATAGAAAGGTCTTGAGATGCCATATGGGAAGCAGGACTGGAGAACTGTGCTGTTGCTCTGAAAGTCTGTAGGAATGCAGTCAACTCCTGTGCTATGAACTGTTGCCCGAGGAGGTGTGGGAAACCAGCTGAAGGGCACGTAGGGCAGCCAATCCAGATCCCTTCTGCTAATTGCTTGTTCCTTATGTTTTGTGCAGAGGACTCCAAAGGCTCCCCTGAGCCCGTCACTCACCTGCGATGGGATGATCCCTACTACGATATCGCCAGGCACCACATTGTGGAAGTAGCAGGTAGTCTTTGCTCTCTGTTTTCCCCTCGGATATCTTTGCAGCTGGGCTGAGGCAAGGTCTCTGAAAGGGAGTTGTGGGGGCATTTGCTACGTGCCAGGCCCAAGTGGCAATGACAGCTGGCATCATAAAGAGAAGGAGCACCAAACTTCTTGAATACTTGCCATAAATGCAGTTTTTCACTGACCTTGGTTAAACTTGCATTCTTTCTTGGATCTTGCTGTCTTGATTATATTATTAGCAGGACTTGGTCACTTTTGTCAAATTGTTTTAGATGTGTATCCTTGACTGTATCCTGAGCACAAGACGTGGATTCTACATGATAATGTCACACAAATTACCTAGTTGTGAGCTCCCTCAGCTGACTGAGTGTGGCAGCTCTGTTGTATCCGAATGGCCAGTTTGCCATCCTGTCCTTATTCAGCATTTTTAGAAACCTGAAATATGGGGGAGAGGCCTGTGGTCCACTGCAAGGAAGGACCTGACCATTCAGTGTTGCAAACATTCTGATTTCTTCTGTGTAGTTGTCTCATCAACATTATTTTAATTACGCTAACCCTCAGCATTTACAGCTGGGACCTCCATGAGAAAAACTCTTGGAGACAGTTCTTAGGTTGCTGTGGTAAGTCTGAGGGAAGGTCATTCTAGTTTGTCTTGCATTCCCTGCTTAAGAAAAAAAAAGCCTCTTCAACCTGTTGGGACTTGACACACTTCCTCCTTAATCATCTACAGCCACCTCCTTCCCTTCCTCTCGCCGTTTCTCTGTACCTTGATTCCTGCCCCACGTAAGAATTTGCAGAGAGGCGGAAGTACAAGCTGGAGTCCTCCTGATAAAGGGTTGTTCTGCAGCTGGGCTGGGTTAGAGAGGAAAGATTTGCAGGCAACACCTTGGCAAGAGTTGTCCTGACATTATTATTTCCTAGGCTGTCATCTAGAATGAAGTTCCTTTCTCCTGACCTCTCATGTTACATTTTTAGGGAACAAAATGATAATGGCAAACTCAAAACCTTCTTTGTCTCCCTGTGTGCCTTTGGCTGCTTCGGATGACAGGCAGAGCGTTTAGCATTTGAGCCCTTGTGTCTTCCAGATTCTCTACGAGCGCTTTGATTTGCAGATGTGTTAGTAACCTTCTCCATGGGGCTGGGCTTCCAGGACTGGAGTTAATTTGGGTCTGCACTCTGGCCTCCCTGCTGCCGAAATTGCAAGGGAACAAATGTGTGGAGTCCTGCCCTTTCAGTGACAGTAGCTAGAGCGTTTGTAATGCAAACGGCAGAGGTGCCCGGTGTTCCTGAACTCTGGGAGCTGGTGAGTTAAGTTGCACTGTAGTTCGCTGCAGACAAAGCCCAAGTGCTTAGCAGAGTGTTTAGATCGCAGACATCGATAAGACTGGAATGTCGACCCAAGCCCAGCACATGCTTTGTGCTCTGCCTCTTGATGTTAGCACCAGCCTTTCTGCGGGATTCCTGTTCCAAGGTAACACGGCGGCTGTTTTACCAGCTCGCTGAGTATCCCTGCGGAGGAGAGGATGCCTCGGTGGTGCTGGAAAGCAGCCATTTGACACAGGCGTCTAGGATAGCACACGAAGAATTACCTAACTTCCTGGAAGCCTTTCAGGCCTGTAAGATGGCTGCCTGGGAGGTGTGCCTGCCTTCTGAAGGGCATCTCTTCCCCGTCATGGCTTGAATTTGTGTTTCGGGTGAGTTCCCCGGCCCTGTTTGCGTGTCTGTGCAGTGCAGCAGCATCTCGCAGAGCCATCTGTTGCTGGCTGCCATGAGCCACTTTCCACCACTAGCCTGTTTATCTGAAAATGTCTGATAGGGCCCACCACAAAATGTGGTGCAATGCCTTTTCTGGGTAAAGAAGCCCAGCTCCACGTAGTGGGTTTGCTGGCGCTTTCGTTTTGAGGCTCGCTGGTGTTGTCTCGTCTCCTGGAAGTAGGATTTATGAAGGTGGGGGCTGGAGCTGAAGCAGTTTGTTCAGTTTTCTTGGTCAATAATTAATAACATTAACCGTTCACAGAATCAGACAGGGTAATGTTCTCTGGGCTGTCACTGGAGGCAAACTATCTGGGGAAGCTGGAAAAATCCTTTTAGAAGTAGCCTGGGGAGTCAAAATCTCGCTGGGGGATTAAAGGGGAACTGTTTGGTGCTGGCTCTGCTGACGAGCCGTGCTTGTCAGCACTTCTAGGTGCAGCCAACGTTTTCCACGCTGAGTCTGAAGTAAAACGGCTCCACCCCAGCTCTCCTGTAAATATGAGCAGGTGGCAGCAGATCAAGGGTAGTTTTATCCATTCTGCTGTTTATGAGCTTTCACTTCTGTGTTCTTCCCTGCTCTTCGCTTCAGAGCAGAAAGCATATGGCTAATTCTGTTTGTGCTTTCCCCAAAATACATTCTGGGGTGCTGATGCTATTTTGAGACAAAAGCAGAAGGCTGGTTACCGTCCTTGGGCTGAGATCCCAGGGTTATCCTGTGTGGTCAGAGCACTAACTGCTTCTAGTGGGCTGGTGCGTGGTGTTAATAGTAGCTTATTTTAAAAACATTAAAAAAAAAAAAGGAAAGGAAATAAAAAAAAACAACCACCAAAACAAACTAAACCCCAGTTCTGATTACAGAAAGTTAGCGTGCTCGTTTTCTTGCTGACTTGAAGTTGTGACTCAAATCAAATCATGCCAGATTTCGCTATCACAGCTATCTGGCTTAAGAGGAAGGAAATTATTCAAAAAATAAAGTTTGCCTTAAAAAAAAAAGTTTCCATTTTCATTTCCCCCACTTCAGAACAGCGCAGCACTTTCATGGAAGCTCCCCTTCGTGCCCTGTGCTCCTATCTCCTGGGGCCTGGGACCTTCCTGGAAGGGGCCATGCATCACGACCTGCCTTTTGTCCACGGAACAGAGCTGGCGTGTCATTGCTGTTCCTAGGGGGGTGCCTCACAGGGAGACAGGGCAAAAGGCGCTGTTACGAACCAGAATGTTTTAGGAAGGCTTGTTTTGGTTCAGGAATTTAATGCTTTTTGGAAGGAAAGAGATGGCACTATTTACCTGCCCTTTCAGACCTGCCCTCAGCGGTTTGTTTTTGGAGCATCTTATGGAGGTGGTGGAGAGGTCCCTGTGGTTGTGCTCTTCCTGACTCTGAGTTCTTCTTTCTGTGAATGCTGTAGCAAATTAATTTGTCTTTACACGTGGATAAAGTTGGAGCAGATGTAGCTCGGTTTCACTGCACAAACCACTTCTGCAAAGTGATGTTTTTTTTTTCCTTACATCATGTAATGCTTGGAGGAAACACGGGCTTCTGGCTGAAGGCTGTTGAACCGTCCCACGTCCCAAGCTTCTGATAAGTTTAAGAGACGCTGTGTCCTGCTGCCAGGTCTGATGTGGCAAAGGTGCTGCTACGTAGTCCCTGCCCAGTGACTTCAGTGCCTTCATGAGGTTCAAAGCATGTTTCTGCTAGTCTTGTGGGAAATCTGCTGCCTCCCCCCATTAATGGGCAGCCTGTAGGGCTGCCCTTGCAGAGAAGGCTTGGTGCCAGTGTGTAGTAAGACCTGCTACTGAAATGGGGGAGCCAGGTGGCAAGCTGGAGCTGTTCTTGAGCGTTACTAGATGGCAGAGAATCCTTTTTCGTTGTGCCAGGTACCAAACTTACCTAAAAAGCATCGTTGCTGGCTGCAGGTGCCAAAGTTGTAACTAATGCTGACGATGGTGGTGATGGATGTGGGGAGATAAAATCGATCTTGGAGCAAGCACCAGTAGCTGCTGTTGCACCAAGCAGGCAAAGGCAGAAGTTGCAGACAAAGCTTGCTTAGGAAGTAGGTTGCATCGTTGCATCCCTCTGATAATAAGGGTCCTTTCCCTTTCTAGCACGGTGCATTATTATGGGCTCCGTTAATGTGGGAAGCCTGCATTTCTGCTGCATTTGAATGTGCTTTATGGCTTTTGCTCTTTTTTTTTTTTTTTTAAACAGTATTTATATGATACAGAATGATGAAGTTGCTTCTGTGGAATTGGGCCCATCCAAAGGCAGCCCAGCTTCTGCACCAAGTTTTGAGATAAGAGACCAAGGGAATGGAGAGTTTCTCGTTAGACCCTTGCTCTACTGAGCTTCCTATGTCAACAGGCCCATTTGGGTCTGGGGAGCATATATGGCTGTGGGAGAGATGGAAAGGAGCTGGGGATGGCAATAAATGCCTTCATAACCTCCTCCCTGAACAGAAAAAACATTTCCCCCCCTAATTGCCTTTTTTTTTTTTAATTCAGAATCTAATAAGACTTTTTTATAACCTGTGTTGAAGATCCAAATTGTCCTCACGTTCCTGTTAGTGAGATTTGGCTTCTCCCAAAACAGTCTGTTGAGCGTGCCGTTCATACAGAGTGATGTCATCCTATGTACACTTTGCAGGTTGTTCAAAGGACCTTGACTTTCCGAATTTGTGGCATTTAACCCTTTTAAAAGTGGCAGCGTGGTGGTTGCCATTTTGTTGGTGGGGGAGGTGTTAACTGCAAGTGCCAGAAATTGGGCTACGATTATACAGAATTTGTTGCAAATTCAGGAGAGAGGCTCAGGAACTCTGGGTATAGGATTACCACCTCTGTTAGCTATGTTTACTTTTGGAGAGGAGCATGGGGGAAAGATGAAGGAGCTTAACTGCTGCACGACGGCAAGTAAATGCATCCCAGTGGCAATCTGGCTAGACTCTGAGACTTTATGCTCAAGGTTACTTTCTGGAAAAGAGCGCAAAACTTGGCTTGCTATAACCTTGTTTCTGTTCCTCCAGACCAGGGTGCACTTGATGGGGCCCAACCAGGTAGGTAGATGTTTTGTGATGCTGTAGATCCTGGTATTCCTTCAGCATGACCGTGGCCTGTAGCTGGGTTATCTCAGGGGAGCCCAAACTTTGCTCAGCCTTGGGCTGTGCTGGCAATTTTTCAGGAGTCCAAAGGCTGCACAAAATTGTCGTCTGAGGACTGCACCTCTGCCTCAGGCACAGCAGTATCATCTGAGCCAAATTTGGCCCGTGGGCTTTACTTGGGGCACTCTGGGGCTGTCGGGTCTCAGTGTAAATCCTGTTCCTCTTCTGGTGGTGGCCTGCTTGGACCAGTTCAGTTCGAACACAGAGATACCTTGTTGTCATGTGTGCTTCAGAAGCTCATCCTAGGATTGCTTCCCATTCCTTCAGACGATCTGCTGCTGCGTGCACTTACAGTGCAGCTGGCACTGAAATTGGATTCTCCAGCTGGAAGCTACTATGAGCAAGTTCTTCGTTTGGCTGGAGAGATGTTGGGTTTTGGTCACCTGTTCCTTATTCCAGCCTGAAGCTGTGCTAGACTGCTGTGTGTTTGCTGAGCATTTGTGAATAGTCTGGCCATCAGCCCCAAGCCTTAAGGATTTCACGCTTCTCAGTGTAGATGAAATTCTCGTGGTACGAAATCCTTTCTGCTGTTTCTGAGCAGCAGGCCAAGATCTTCGCACAGTCCATGGAAATGCTGATCCTCATTACACGGGTTCTTGTCCACCATTTGCTGTGGGAGACATCCTTCTGTTTTACATTATTTAATCTGATCTTTTAGGTTGTGTTTTGTTTGTGTTTTTTTTTAATCAGTTAGGGCTTTAGTCACTTGATAAAGCTTGATAATTCCAGCAGAGTTTGGATATTGGGAGTATCTAGGTATAAGATGTCTTGTATTAAAATGTTGCTACTTCAACCTCCTTACTTTCTTTTCTTGAGAGGCTACATCCATGTTGGAATTCCTCGGGCATCTAAAATCTACTGTGGATACTTTAACACAGCACTGTGTCATAAGTTTGCCACGAACCTGGAATTTCATTAGTGGAGTTTTTTTGTTTGTTTGTTTGTTTGTTTTGTTACTGATGGTGGCTCTGATAAGCATCCTGAGCTTTGTGAAACTTGTGTAGGGGTGTTCTGGATTTCTGTAGTGGTGTCTCCTCCTTCTCCCTGACCTGGCAGCTTTGTTGCTTTACTGATGACACTAGCTCTTCACAGAACCACGGACCGGTTTGGGTTGGAAGGGACCTTAAAGACCACCTGCATTCTCTCAGTATCCACATACCAGGATCTTCTCACTTGCATCTGTCATCAAGCACGTATTTTCCATGTTGGTCGTACAGATTTGTTTAGCAGAGTCCTGTCTCAGGACAGTCCTGCTATCTTGGTAGGAATTCCTGCTCTGGTACGTTTGCTTTGCTGCGGGTTGCAAACCTTAGCCTTGGTGATTAAACTTCAGCTGTTCTAGGAGCATGGTCCTACACTGATGGTTTGGAACTGCAAGAATGGTGTTCTCAGCCCACGTCTCAGGAGTGCATTGGAAACACTGCTCTTCAGGAGGGAGTTGGAAACGAATTTGGGCCTTAAAAGCACCGCAGCAACGTTCAGGAGAATCAGCACATCTGAGTGCCACAAGTCAATATCTATTTAGATGAGCAGCAGTCTTGACTGGTAGGCTCTGCGTGTTGGCTGCTGTCCTGCTCTTTGTTGTTTACAAAATAATAATTGGGAATTCCAGCCTATAGGGAGATCGGTGGGTTCTGGAGTACCCTGAAAGCATGTTTTATGCATGAACATACAAAGGCGTGCACTCTGTTGGGGTGCTCTGAGAGTGCTAACATATATAATTGCCTCCTCGTTGGTTTGTTGTTAACTACTTGCTGAGCATTTCTGGTCTGGGAGAGGTAGCAGACAGCCTGAGAATCTGAGCAGCTACTTCATGGTCTACAGTTGTGCTCAGTGGAAACTGTAGGTACTTGCGCTTGCAAGCAAGGGGTGAAAATGTAGATAGATAAAATTAATACTGCAAGCAAGAGAACAAACAGTACAAGGGATGGAGCATCTGGGAAAGATCAAACGTGATAAGGAACTGCTCAGTCTGAGGCAGAGAGGCCACCTGGAGGCAGTTTCCTCTGGCAACCAAGAATACATGGAATGGGCTTTAGGTTCTTGTTTATAAACTGGGACCAGCTGATTGTTCATCTTTGATGCTCAGGAGCTGAACTTTATATCCGGAGAAACCAGACTGATCTGATACACGTCAGGTGGAAACAGGATTGGCATTGAGTGGGTTTGAATGTTTGTGTTGACAGGCTGAGCCCAGTGTGAAACTCACAACTCAGTAATGGGCGTGCTGGTTCCTGTGGAGTTCTCATGCAAAAATTCATTCGTATTTGGAAGGCAAAAAGGGCCACTCCTTTTCCAGTGATCCAAGGGACTGTAGGTAATCTTTTGGTGTGCTTGGCCCTGGAAATTATCCAGGGGAAACATGCCATCTTCCCTTTGGCAGAATCGTGGATTGTCTGTTTTTTCTTTTATCAGCAATCCCAGGGCTCTTCACCAAGGCTGTGTAAAAAAAGAGATTCTGGACTTTGCATAGGTCCTGCTGAAGGCTTTCATGCCATTCTGGAGGAAGGTGCTCAAGGTTTTGGGTTCCTGACTTGTGATCTGTTCAGCCTGGAAGTCAGCGCCCAGGAGCCTGAGCAGGCTGTGTGGCCACCTGCAACATCACACGAGGATGGAGCTGTACTGCAGTTCTCCACAACCAAGACCTGCCTTCATCAAGCTTACATCTGCTTCACGCCCTCAGACCATCCACGTGGATCTGAATTGCATCCTGTTAACTGAAGACAGCAGCTATTCTGCTTTAACAGAGCTGTGAACTGCACAGATCGGTGGGCTTTGTGGCCGTTTTCTTTCATCACCACAAAACTCAGCAGATTCTCCATGCTGCCATCTTCTTGCTGCTCTGTGCAGGCAGGATCCTTTGTCTTCCAGAGGGTGCCATAAAAGTGGTTAAAGACCACTGGGTAGAGTCACAGTTTGCCGTACCCTCTTGCCCAGAACTTTCTAGCCTTTCTTTGCTCTGTAGACACCTCACGTGCATTTGAGCAAGCCCTAAAGCTCACAGCAAGCTACCAAGAAACTCCGGGCTAGGCAGAGAGTGGGCTGCCGTGGGATGTGCAATGTGATGTTGGTCTCGTGGCCTGGCTGTGCCTGTACCCGGTTGTTCCAGACCATCCTTGCATCACTCTCTTCTAGTCCTGCTTTCTGGGTCGTGTGTCCTCCTGAGCTGCCCCCAGCTGCGCATGTGTGTGTCAGTGTGAGCCTCTGCCAGCCTCTCCTGGGCTGTACCCGGTGCTGCCTCAGTGTCCCTAACCTTTGTAGAGGCTCTGGCTTGTGTGCATCACTACGTTCTGTCTCGTGCTGTCTGGTGAGTGGCTTAAAAGTGAGACTTGCAAGGGAAAAACAGAAGTGAAAAAGCAGAGGGAGTCTTCTTCTGGCCAGGGTAGAGATAAAAGATAGGTCTAGAGGCTTCTTGATGTCGTGGCTTGTGTATGTAAATTCTCTGGCTTCCTTTTGCTGTGGCAGTGGTCGTCTGTTACAAACAGGCATCGCTCCTGGAAGCCTCAGGTTTGCTCAGGTTTGATTTAAGATCTCAGTTGCTGCACGGCAAGTCTAACCAAGCAGGGTTTGGGCACTGGAGCCCATGCAAGGGGGAGGAAACAGCTGCATGCTCTGAATACTGCAAATCCAGCATGGGGAAAAGGGTATCTTTCAGGAGGAATGTGTACTAAAGGGCTATCCTGCATATAAGTAGAGATCTTTGCTGCTTTCTGTGATGTGGTCTGAATGGGATGGTTGTGCTGCAGGGGAGGGAGGAGGGCCTTCTTGAATATAGCCTCAGTAGCCCCTTTCACTGCGCTGTGCTCCTTCTGCTTTGACAAGAAACCATTGCTCTCAGAGCAGGGTGAGTAGCCAAAAAGACAAGAAAATGTTAACCCTTGACACTGAAGGAACAATTTCACCTCCATGGGTGCTAAGAAGTAAGTCATCCTTATGGAAATGAATTGGGGGGGGTGTCCATCTGGGAGAGAACCAGATTTCCCTCAAACTCTGCATATCCAAATGATTTGTGACCTGGTTCTCACTTACCCAAATCCCTCAGTTCCCCCAGTGTGTCTGCTAAGCGTGTCCGTGCCCACCTGCCTGGGTTTTGTTCGTGGTGCCAGCAGAAATACGCTGATGTATGAAGAGTTGCTTTGGAGAACATTTGGTTTGTTGTCTCTGAAGCCTCAAGAGGTGGCTGGGAGTGTCCTCCCCTAAGATGATGAGGTTGCTTTATGGGTTATTTGGCTCCTTTGTGGTGGGGACTGTTTTCTGATGGGGTTTTGACATAGAATTGGCTCGGTTGTGCCACGCTTTGCAGCTCCTTCCATTTCAGAATGGGAAAATACAACTGTAGATGGAAAAACCTGGGAAGCAGTGAACAGCAGCTTGTTCTGCAGACCCCTGTGGAGAATCTGGTGGGGCTAACCTGGTCCATCTGTAGAAGAGGCTTGTGATGATGCTTGCTTCTCATCTCTGGGATGTGGCTGGGCCTGTCTGTTTCTGGGAATTTCTTGGTTTTCAGGATGTGAAACTGCTTTGTTCTGTGTGCAGGATGAAGCTGTAGGTGAAACAACAGCCACACGCACCAGACCATGAGTAGTCTGGGACTGTGTGCAGAAGGGGAGGAGCAGTTTTTGTGCCTGTGAGGGGCAGTTTTCTTGTGCCTCCCTGTGCACACATACAAGGGGAGCAGTGGCCTCAGGAGCAGCGTTGCAGGACTAATGCTCCGGGTACTCTGCTCTGTACCGGAGGCCTCCATTCCTACATGCTCTGACTCATCCTGGCTTCCAAACCTTCCTCTTCTTTCAGGGCTGGAGCATGGACTGTTCTCCGTTCATGTTGCCAATTTGCCAGGCCCTTGGGGTTCAGGTTTCTGCTCCTATACTAGGCCCGTGGCAACTCTGCTGAAAGTCAGGTTTACCTTTACTGTCAGCTTTGGCAATCTCAATTTCTGCCTTGTTATGGTGGTTTTCCATGCTCCATTACCCCTTTGCTGCCAAGACCACAGCGTAGTGCTGGAACTCCCTGTAATCTCTGGCATTTCATCTGCAGGTGATGACAAATATGGAAGGAAAGTCATTTTGTTCAGTGCCTGCCGGATGCCCCCAAGTCATCAGCTTGATCACGTGAAACTGCTGGGGTGAGTAGTGTCTTCGGAGGCTGCTATTAACTTCTTAACCCTGACACAATTCCCAGGTACTGGATGCCTGAGGCTAAATCTATATGGAGTGTCTTCTTTATCTTGACATGTCCTTGCAAAGTGCTTACGTTCATTGATGGGGATACAAATCCTCTGCTATGGCACGCTAAAAAGAGGCCCAAAGGAGGAAGAGCCTCTGTGTGGCAAAGCATGAAGCGAGTTCATCAGCTGTCTCTTTTCAGGTACCTGAAATTCACACTGGACCAGTATGTGGAGAGTGATTACACACTGGTGTATCTGCACCACGGCCTGACCAGTGAGAACAAGCCATCCCTGAGCTGGCTGCGAGACGCCTACAGGGAATTTGATCGCAAGTGAGTAGGGGGCAGCAGGCAAGGGTGTAGCATGCTGCTCTGCAGCCCAACACAGGAGATCTTTCCCCTGCCCCCACGTAGCCTGGTGGTCATAATTTACTATTGCTTGTTTCTACTGCTTGTGGAGGTGGTTTTCTTTTTGATGCAGGCTGAATCACAGGATGCCCAGCTCTTCCTGGCCAACAGGCAAGCAGCAAAATCAGGAAGCAGTGCAAGTGTGTCAGCCCCGTGGTATAATTGTTGCTTCTTGGTGAGGCTGGTCACTGCTGCTGGGTGAATCCTGGAATAATGTAGAGCGTGCCCTTAGGCTGCTGGGCAGCCTGATGCTGCTACCAAATGTGGAAGAGCAGGGTTCTGGGGAGCGGTGAGGCAGAATCCAAAAGGAATGGAGCATCTGGGATCCCTTAAGCTTGTGAAAAGGTTGGTTCCCCTGCTTAAGGCACAGTTCATCCTTACTTAGCTTCTCTTGGCAGGTACAAGAAGAACATCAAAGCCTTGTACATTGTGCACCCAACCATGTTCATCAAGACCCTGCTGATTCTCTTCAAGCCTCTGATCAGGTAGGAAGCCTCTGGGCACCCACATCCTCACACTGATGGGGAGTAATGGGGCAGTTCTTGGGGGGGGGACGACACAAGATGTGCCCAGGCTGCCGAGCCTGCCCTGCTGGCCCTTGCCCTCTGCTGTCTCCTCCTGTTTCTGAGCTCAGAAATATTCAGATGCAACACCTACCTACAGAATATGCAGATCTGTGCTGCTCCTTGGTTATCCAGCCAGTTGGAAGTAATGCTGGTGCAGGCTCTGCTAATAATGGAAAAAGAAGAGAGAGAATTGGTCTAAATTATACTTAATTCATTGTGTTGATGCTGAAATCCTAACTCTGTAAAATAATCAAAAAGTTGTCTGCAGCTTACTGCTGAGCTTAGGAAGGAGAAAGCCAGGGCTTTAGGGAGGCTGCTTCTGCAAGGGCTTCTGATGGGACCTGGAAAGTCTTGGCATCTCCTGGTAAAATATGTGGAGTTGTAGAGCTGCGTGGGCAACACGTCTGTCGTTCAGCCATACTGTCTCATACCCGTCAATGTCTCTTTCAGACCCCTACTCTGCTTGCCTGTAAGAAGTCCACCCTTCTGCTACTGGATTTCCTGATTCTTTACCTGCTACTTGTCTCTTGTTTTTCAGCTTTAAGTTTGGACGAAAAATCTTTTATGTGAACTTCCTCAGTGAGCTGGAGGAGTACGTGAAGCTGGAACAGTTGGGGATCCCGAGCCAAGTGCTGAAGTGAGAGTGCTACCTATCTCCCGTTTGTTTAGGGCTCTACAAGAGGGGATTTTACTGGATGAATGGCAAAGGAAAGAAGAGATTGCACCACCTATGCAGTGTTTTTTGAGGGAGTGGTGGCAAATTACCAGACTGTTGTTTCTCTCCACTGTCTCTCCTGTGTGTGCACCCCAGTACCCAGTTCTGTCCTTGAGTTAAAAAAAAGCTTCTCCAGTGGAGCACCCATCATGCCCAGCCACCCCTCAGGGGCTTTCTGCAAGCTATTGACATTAACACTGTCTTGGACCTTGTGGTGTGTATCTGCTCTGGCTGGGCAACTGTTTTCCTCCCTTGGCACAGTTCGGCTTGTCTTTGAGACTTCCCAAAGTTACCCCAATCTTGGTCCAACCACCCGTCCCTCGCACACTTGTGCAACTGTCTCATCACAAACAGTGCTGCCCTGACCTCTTTCTTGTGCTGTTATCTTCAGCTTCTCCAGCTCTTGATTCCATATATATCTTCCTTCCCTTCTGCTTTTTGTTTTTTTTCTGGCAACCAAATATTTATATGTGTTTATCTAGGGCTGTCTGTCCTGTTTTTGCATAAATGGAACCATGCAAAGGCTGGAGGTGATACTAGTGTGTTAGCAGTGGGTCATGTGCAGTGTGGGGTTTGTGCTCTTTCTGGAGGTGGACTGGCTTTTTACTATTCTGTCTTGCCACAGATACGATGAATATCTGAGATCCCTGCAGAAGCCTGCCCAAGTGCCCCAGAAGCCAACACCCCCACGCCCACCACTGCCAAACCAGCAGTTTGGAGTCTCGCTCCAGCAGTGAGTATCTCTGGATTATGTTGATTTAACTCTGACCTGGTGGATATGAGGTTACTGTATTTATAACTGAACAGCTGCAGGAGTGGTTGTAAAATTTTTTGCAGTTTGGACTTCCGACAAAACTATAATCATCCTTCTGAGGAACTCTGTGTTCATGTCCAGGGCCTGACTGACTCAGTTCAGTTCAGCTCTCTTTGTTCCCGGACTAGATCCTAACCTCCATCCTAAATTAGAATGAGGCTGTTTCTGCAGCTAAGGCTTACCAAAGGAGAAACAAAACAAGGACCATGAGGACAGCTCCATGCCACTAAAAACTTCGTTTAAGCGAAGGAAGTACATGAGACGTGGATTGAGGTGTCTTTACAGTGCTATTTTTATTGAGTAGGACTGCAGATCTTTTTTTTTTTTTCCATATCATAATTACTATTTTAAAAGCACTTCTACTTACCCTTGTACTGATTTCCACCACTCATTCCTGCACAATGACACAGGCAAACACAGACACTGGCAAGGGATAGTGATACTGGCTAAGTGCTGAAGGTATTTTTAACCTTGAGTGCAATTTTGTGGCTGTGGAATGAGGAGGGGCCAGCGTTGTGTGTCCAGACAGATCCTCTGAATGTGGGAATGCATTCCCCAGCTGCAACACAACATTTCCAAAAGTAATCCCTGTGTTGCTGTGTGTCTGAGCCTGGTAGAGGCCTGAGAGGGGTGAACAGCTCCATACCAAGTGGTACAGACTGTGTAAGTGAGGGTGGCACAGATGCCTCAGCATCACTAGGCCTTCCTTGACAGCTGTTGTGTTGGTGTGTCTTCCATCACAGGAACTGGGTGGATAAGTTTATCCCATGTATGTCTGTGTCAGCTTCCTCCTGCCTTTGCCCACAAGAGGGAAAGACAAAGGCAGTTTAACTCTCTTCACCTGGTTTGTAACTGGCAACCTTGCCTTCTGGGAACCCTGTTGCCCTGGTGTCTACATGCTATGGTTTTTATAGAAGACAAAGAAATTGCTGTGGTGTGGCATTGATCCTAGACTTGCTCCAGTGAATGACTTAGCCCAGGGGGTGAACAGGGAGAGAAGGCAGGAATAATGGGTGAACTGGGGGACTGGGATAGCAAGATCCTGAGTGCCAATCAAAGGTAGTGCTTGTGTGGGCAATCTAAGGTCTCGGGGGCTGCATGCAGGGCAGGGAGAATGAGTTATTGTAACCTTTTGTCTCTTCCCACAGTCTAAGGGAGAAGAGCCCTGATCAGTCTCCTGTTCCTCTGGTGGTCAGAGAGACCATTGCTCATTTGCAGGAGCACGGTAAGTGTTAAAGGGAAGCTGCAACCCCTCATAATTTCACATTGGTGGCCTCTCCTACACCCAGTTCCCATCCAGAGTGTAGTGAGAAACAGCAGAGCAGCAATCTAGAATAAGTTGTAAAGGCCTGACCGAGGGGGATAAGCCTTCAAGAGACTGCATTTTCATGGCTTGGAAGAACTTTTTCTCTTAGTTGTTCATACTCCCACTTGTATAAGAATAGCAAATGCTGCTTGTACCCTTTGCCTGCTGCTGGAGGCAGGAAGAATTGCAGTTCTATAAAAAAAAAGGGACGTGTTGGCAACTGCCTGAACACCATACAGCATGGATTTATAGTTAAGACCAATGTTCCTAGAGACTCCTGCATATCTGATCTTTCTTCTCCATCTGCTCTCCCTTGACAGCTCTTGCAACAGAAGGGATTTTCCGGAGATCAGCCAATACACAGGTTGTCAGGGAGGTCCAGCAGAAATACAACATGGGTAAGTGTCCCAGCTCAGCAGAACCCGTCTCATTCTCTGACTCCTACTGTCTAGCTAGAACGGTGTTGGAGCTAGTCCAGCATGGCTCTTCACCTTCTCTGATGAGGCCCCATCCTCACCTTCTCTAGGGGAGGCCCCATCGGGGATAGACCTGAGTTGCAAGGAAGAAGCATCTGACACTGCATAGTATTTCTGCTGTGTGGAAAGCATAGTTCTTCCCACTCGTGTTTCCTACACTGCCCTTTTCTGTCCTGAATATTTCCCCATTTCTCAGGGTAGGATATACCACGTTTGTCTAGTTATGCCAGAGGGACTGAAGATGACAAGGAAGAAACCTGGTCATCTGTTCGGTTTGCTTTTTTCTAATGAGTTAGTGACGGATTCAGCAGTGCTTTGCATATGCTTTTGGGACACATTTTTTCACTCTGTTACAAGATGTCATGCTTCATTATCCTCTTACATTCTTTAAAATGCTGCTTCCGCAGTTCTGGGCTCTGACCATCGTGCCACGTTCTTTGGAGGAGATCCTACTTTGGCCAGTGAATGCTGAATCTCTGCTTTATTTCCTCAGGCGTGCCGGTAGATTTCCAGCAGTATGAAGATGTCCACCTCCCTGCTGTGATTCTCAAGACCTTCCTGAGGGAGCTACCCGAGCCCCTCCTCACTTTTGGCCTCTACAGCCATGTTGTCAGCTTCCAGAGTGAGTTGTAACAAGAGTGTGCTCTATACACCCTGCATGTTGCATTGGCCAAAGACAAATCTTCCAAACCACCCTTATCTGTGAAACGGCCAGTCCTGCATGGGATAGCCCGTGCCTTCAAAATGTGCTTTCACTGGGATGCGTGCTGAGGTATTCATCTTTTGTGTGGAGAGATGAGAATTTCTCATGGGCCCGCTTGTCCCATCTCTCCTGCATTTTAGGTGTGGAGGAGGAGAATCGTGTGGACGTTGTTCGCAAAACGCTCCAAAGTCTGCCAGAAGAAAACTACGAAGTGCTCCATTTACTGACAGCCTTCCTGGTGCAGGTGAGCTGCTCTGAGATTTGGAAGTTGTCTTCTAGTTCAGTTGCCTATGCCTTGCATCAGCTTTTTGCCTGCCTGCTCCCTCCTTCCTTTTGAGAAGAAATGAGTCTCAAGCTAGGAGATTGCCTCTCTCTACCTTATGTTCCTCTTATATGGGATCTCACAACTGAGAGGTGCAGGCAGGCATTAAGCCAGTGTGAGCTGTACCATGGAGGCTGAAAGCTCCCCAAGGTGAAGATACGACAGCAAAAATAGCTGAGTAGAAGATGGGACTAGGAGAGGGGTCACAGATCTACCCTAGATCATTTAGTTAGTGATGATCTGGACTGCAGAGGTACTGCCTGACAGTGCTCTTGGTCCTATTATCATAATGGCCTGATAGTAGAGCCATAGTGGGATGTGGGGAGTGACAAGATGTTGCTCCTCACCTCCAGAGTGCTAAAAATCATGTGTTTCCCCCAGCTACCTTCTGGCAGTGGGTCTTCAGCTTCTGCTTGCCGTCCTCCTTCCAGTTTACCTGGAGAGTCTGCCAGTTCTGGCTTTGGGGAGGGTGGAGGGCAGCTGCTCTGTCGTTCTGTAGGATTCACAACGGTCTCTTTTCTTCCCACGTAGGTCTCTGCTCACAGTGACAGAAACAAGATGACAAACACCAACCTGGCAGTTGTGTTTGGCCCAAATCTGCTGTGGGCCAAAGATGTAGCCATCACCCTAAAAGCCATCAACCCCATCAATACCTTTACCAAGTTCCTGCTGGACCACCAGAAGGAGCTCTTTGAGAACGTGGAGGCCTGAATCCAGGCCAGCCCATTCCAGCACACTGTGCCCACCTTCCCACCTTCTTTCCCACCTTGTCTTGGAGCTGTGACCAAGCTGCCTCCAGTGTAAAGGGACCATTGATCCCCTGAGTGATGAGCAGAATGAGGGCTGTGGAGATGGTGGAGAAAGTGTAAGTAAGCAGCAGATCTCTAGCATCAGGTGGGGATGGGAGCTGGTCTCCCGGCTGCTGGGTGGAGTCCTCCCCAACCTGCCAGTCTGTGCAGCTCCTCCAGGGCTCATCACCAGCCTGCCGCCCTATAATGACCCGCCTTCCTTTCCTCCTTCCCTCACCTGCCTTTTTTCTGCCCTCCTGGTCCCTTCCTCAGCAAAGATTTTTTTTGGTTTAAACTCCCAACAGCCCCAGCTCGCTCCCCTTGCCTCAGCTGGGCTACCAGGGCTAGGGCAGACTTGCTGGGTTCGTGGCAGAGGTGTTCTTGCTCAGTGCCATCTTCCAGCACTGAACATGCATCCTGCCTTCTCCCAGAGGCACCTGAAGCACTGAAGGGAGCAGGCAGCCCTTGTGCTTCATGTAGCATCGTGCTCTGCACTTCCAAACACCTCTCCAGGTCCACGGTTTTGACCAGCAAGTGAAATACAGGTTCACAGCATGTGGGCTGTTTAGACCTGCCAGACTGCAGCACAGGGAAGCTGAATTCAGCCCGTATTCCTCTGGGCTCACCCACTCCAGGTACTCTTCAGCTTTTACTGGGGTGAGGTTGCTCCTGTAGTTACCCAGCTCAGGTGTTTTTGTCCCTCCAGCAGCATTTCCAGCCTGGCTGGGAAGGTTCGTGCTGGACCTGGCTGTGCAGGGGTCTGGCTGGGGCCCTTTCCCAGACGGGAGGAGGTGCCCTGGTGGCATTGAGCTGCTGAACACCGTGAAGATCACTGCCTTGCCCTGTGGCAGCAACACGAGGCCTCTTGTACTCCTTCAGGCGTGTGTACCTGTGCTGCCAGGCACAGCCTGCCTTGGTTCTTCTTTTTTCTCTTCCTTTTGAGCAGAACTTTCTCTAGCACAACGCAACAGTGAGCGTGGCCTTGAGGGGAGGTCTGGAGCCTCGCTCTGGGGTGCACCAGGTCTGGCTTACAGATTTCTGCCCCGGTGCTGAGCTCTCGTGTGCCAAAGTTGTGAGGGAACAGCTATTCCATGCTGAGGGCCCTGCCCTCGCTCCTCCTCGCTTCATTGTTCCCTTGCATCCTGCCATGGAAGCCTCCTCAGATACATCCTCTATGCCCTGGAGAAAACTGGGAGGTCTGGAGGCAGGTTTAGGGCAGGATGTGCCCGGTGCCTTCCCCGAGCAGGGCATCGCTGTCGGTTTGGGGTGCAGCCTGCTGGTGGCCTGAGCTCAAAGCGATCCCTGCCCTTAGCCTGGGCCCGAGGGAGCTTCTGAAGCGGGGAGCTTCTCGCCTTATTCCTCTGGTGTATTTACCTTTGTATCTCATGCCCTGCATGCCTGGGCCAGTCCCGCTCCCTGTTGCATCTGGCCCCGGGACAAACGGTTCGGACCAAACAGAACTCATTTTTTTTACAAGCTACTGGATGCTAAATGGGGTTTGCCTCTTCACAGCCTTTCAGCCTGAACAAAAGCTGGTGCCCCAGCTGTAATGAAAGGTAGCAAGCCCTGCTGCGGGGCTGGTGGAAGCGGCTGTTTCTGCTAAGCTGAGGAGCGGGGCTGGGTGCGAACACAGGGAGCGTGGTGGGGCAGCACCCGGCTGGCTGGGAGGAGGCACAGCGGGTGGGAGCTGGGCATTGCTAAGGCTGGAGCCAGAGGTGTGCTAGGGCAGGGCTGGGCCCCATCCCTTCTAGGTAGAGGGGACGTTGCCCCAAGGAGGCTATGAGGTTGCCGAGTTTCCCTCCTTCAAGAGTAGGACTCTTCCCTGTTTGGCCAAGATAGGAGCTGCTGCAGTTAGGCTTTACCAGTGGGGAGACTCCTGCTCTGGCTCTGCAGCTGGCTCTGGCCTTGCTTGCATCTCCCTAGAGGAAAGGCAAACCCAGCTAACTTCTCCAGGGACAAACGAGCTTGGAACAGCAAGTGCCTGTCTGCTGGGGCACGAGGCCTTGATCCTACGCGCAGCTGCAGCTCTGGGCAGGGTGGCAGGTTGCAGCCCATGCCTGGTGGCCAGGAGCAGCTGCTGGTGTAGCTCAGCTGCTCTCCAGGGGGAGAGCCGGGGTCGCTGCAAGTGTCTGTGTTCCCTCTGGAGTTTGTTGGGTGGCTGTTTTTTCTCGTTTTGTTTTTGTTTTTTGTGAATTTTTGAAATCCTGTTTCCTTTTTTTAGCAAAAAGGAGCCTGGTGCACCCCCTGCAGGCAGGGATAACAGCCTGCTCCAGGTCAGTGCCTGCAGGGAGCAGATTTGGAGGGTGTTCAGGAAGCTGCTACTGCTCGTGGTGGGAAAGTGCTTGAAAATCCTGGAAGGGACCCAGTGTAAATATCCCCTTTCCTCCAAGGCTCCTCATGCGGGAGCTGCCAGGGGCCCTGGAGTAGGCACAGTAACCGGGGCTGCTTTTACTTCTGCACTCTCCCCTCCTGAATGCCTTCTTTGGAGAAATCCCTCCTGTGATTTGAGCAGGGAACTGGCCTGGGCCTGCCCGCAGCCTCTGCTGGGTGGATGAAATCCCCTCGCCCGCTGGGCAGCCTCCTCGCGGGGAGCACCGCTGGCAGAGTGCAGGCCTGGCCGGGCTGCTGCTGTCCTCTGCATGTCGCTGGGGCCAGGATCTGCTGAGGGTGCCCGTCTTTGTCATTTTTCTCCTCGTAGAGCTGCCCAAGGTCTCTGGTTTGTCTTTCAGGTTAGCGATGAGCCATTTCTCCCTGCGGGGATGGAGAATTTGCTCCGTTCCACACCTCTGCTTTTTAGCACCTAGGCCATTCCCCCTCTGGGGTGCTGTCTTACCTGCCCCCGGTCACTCCCTGCTCCCTGCCCCAAGCTGCGCTGTGGTATCAGAGGTTTTGGGTAGTGCAGAGGGGGCTGCAGCCGTCTGGATGCCTTGTGGCAATGTCTGCAAATCTGACAGAGAGCTGAGCGCCAGTTTGGTCCCTGTTTCCTCTTTGAAGCACAGGGGCCCCTGTGCAAAATTTTTGGCTTTGCTTTTGTTGCCGGTGTTCCCTGCCTTCTTTTCTGTCGACGTTCATTAGGTGCAGGGATGGGGTTTTCACAGTGGTATTAAGTCACATTGTTTATTTCCTTCTAATCTGCACCGATCTTGTATTTCACGGTTTGCACTTTTTGTATTTCAATAAAAACGGAAATGTAATCCCAGCTCCAGGTGTGTCTGTCCTGTGGCAGCAGCTACAGCACCACTCCAAGAAGCAGAAGTAAGGCTGGCTGTGCTGCCAGCCACCACCACACAGAGAGCTGAATGAGCACGAGATGCCTCGTATGTGAGTAACGCGGGGAGGTAGGAGTACTTTGCGGGAGCATCAGGCTGGAAAGAGATTTAGAAAAAGAATGAAGTGTTACAAGCTTGGCTCTCTCCTGACAGCAGGAGCCTAACCAGGGCTGGGCATCCAAGGTGTTACCTCCCTCTGGTGATGAGGCAAGTCATCTGCACACACCTGCCCTCTCCCCAGGAGAGGGACTGCTCTGACTCCTGCATGTATGGTGGTCTTGGGTTAGGGCCACTGCACCCCAGCCCTTGATGCAGACGTGGTTAATTGGCTTTTCCTAAAGGCGCTGTAGTTCCTGATTAAATCAGGAGGCTTTTTGGCTTGTAGAAAGACTTTTACATCTCAAGTGATTAGGAGTACAGAGAGCACTGGAACTAAAAGCGCTACCCTTGGGCAGTAGCAGGAGCCCTGGCTGCTTGGCTTGGTGTCTGGCAATGTTGATTCTGATGTTAGCACTTGCCATTATACAGCAGCCTGCTGCTTTTCAGCTTTTATTACCGATTGTATATCGTCCAAGGCCCATGCTATTCCATTAAGGGCTTCCCCATGTTGCCAATTTGCCATCTACATCTTGGCACTGTTCAGTGGGACTTGTGAGAAGCCATCAGCCAGATACAAGAAGGCATTTTTGGCACCTGTTCACAAGTGCTACTTTGTGGATGGTCCTTGTGGTCTGATTTATTAATTTATTTACCTGCTGTAACTGCACAGTGTCTCATACCTAGAGCTGAAGAGGTTCCTTAACCTTACTACTTCTGTGGGGCCTTTTCATGTGGATGGTGCTTTTGCTGTAGCCTGTGCTTTCACAGGCTTCAGTCTGTGACTGAGGCTGGTTAGCAGACAGCCATGAGCTGCGTGCTTCCTCCAAACAGCAGAGCAGCAAGCAGTGTGCTCCTTCACCAGCATTTGCTGCTGGGATGCTCACACTAGTTCTTCCTGCATCTTACACATCTCTTCTACTTCTTGTATCAGATCTAAATATTCCCATGTTCTTATTAAGTGTGATAGTAACAACCACAGAGCACGCACCTTCTGCTTTTTTTCTACTGCTCTAGGAGGTAAGTTAACATTTCAGCTGGGGTGGGACATCCAGGAAAGTCTGGATCCAAATAAGTCAGGACTGTTCCCCCCCGCCTGTGTATGGGACCAGGCAGGCACCTGCTTTGTCTTTTTCCTTGCTCTCTTTCTCCCTAGAAGGCAGCCTTACTGAGGTCCTGCTAATTACTCCAAACATAGCACAGCCTAGCCCTGGTGGAGGCAACGAGCCTGCTCCATCCTGCACTCAGTGGAAGGCAGCTCACTGACAGTCCTGTTTCCTGAAGGAGAAAGATTGAGAGGCTGGGACTGTTCCAAAGCGGTCAGAAGATGTGGAGAAAAGCCTGTAACAGAGCAGTGCAGCACTCCATTGCTTACATAAAAGTTTTATTGGAAATTCTTCGAATACTTGAAGTACATTGGAGACTATTTCCAAAACAATACAATTCCCCTTCCCCTTCACCCAAAGTATCTGTAAAGCAGCAGCTATACACATGCTGTCTTCAACACAGAACTGAGCAGACACCTGCAAAAATAAACAGCCCCCATAACAAGCTGTGGCAGGCTGCAGCAGCATCTAGCTCTTTCTTGAAGCAGAGCATTTACACAGTGGTCAGAGAACTCAGAGCCTACCTAGATGTAGCAACTATGTGTTGAAGCTGAGGAATGTCCAGAAAAGAGGCACATAACTCAGCCCTAGAGCATCTCTTTATTGCTGTGGCCATCCAGCTCAACACCTAGCAGCTTATATAGGCAAATGTCCAGCCTGCTGAAGTAGAAAAGAACTGCCCCACTGAAGTGCTGCTAACAGGGGTGTGGGAGCTGCAGCCACGTTAGGAACTGCAGCAACTGAGCGCAAGTACTTGGCTCAGGGGCCCTCCTGGGCAGGACTAGCAGAACGGCATGCCTTCTGCCGCCTCCCTGGCTTTTCGTTGTGACGAGAGGGGACAGCAGTAGCACTGGCTAGATGAAGTTCAATCTGTTCTAGGCTTCCCCCTGAATACAGTGTGAACCAGCACTTTTCCCACTCTGCTGCTTTGCGGCTCAGCTCAAACTGCCTGTACGTTAAGGGAAAGGTGACAGCGACCACCCCTACAAGGTGACAGGGACCAGCTTCCTGAGCAGAGACGAGGACCAGGCAATACCCTCGTTCCTTGTGTTCTGCACTCTTCTGATACCTCTTCTACCTGTAAAACGAGGTGGCTCTGGCTGTGGGGATCAAGTATTTGTTAAATCCCAGGTAACTAAAGTCCTCTACTAAGCCATTTAGAAACTTTAAGATGTCTGTGCACCTACTTTTGTGAGGCTATTGAAAGGTTGGATCGGGTGAGTAAGCTGGGTAAGTCAGGGTGGGTAATTCTCCTTCAGTACAGCTCTTATCTGGACTTTTGGAGCTCACACAACCTTCACGTGATGGAACACATCACTTAACACAAAAGCCAGTAAAGTTCAAGCACTGTGTTGATCTGACCTTACAACAAGCTCTACTCTGAGCTTGGTTCCTTGCTCTACCAGGGGCACAGAGTTAGTGTTCTAGAGAGGAGCTGGGCTTCCCCTGTCACCTGCTAGCAATCACTTTCAGTTAAGAATGCAGCAAAGCTGAAGAAGCTGCCACACCACACTAACTTGAAGGCTGGTTACTTAACCACTCTAGGGAAACTACGATGGTTCCTCAGTACTGAGAGAACAGCCTCACTTCTGGAGAAAGGGAAAGAACAAACATATATTAGGACAGTAAGGGGTCTTGCAATTGCTTGTTTGTTACACATGGGAGGAGGAAAGAACCACGAGACCTACCTTATCTAGGTTTCTGCTTAGTGTCACTGCTGCTCCTCCCCTCCTTATGTCAGACAAAAGACACACAACAGCCAAACCACCCCGAGTGCTGCCAGCCAGTCACACTGCTAGTAGCCAGCTCATTACAAAAATAAAATTTCAGCTCATCGAAAGCCAGCTGATTAAAAAGTACCATAAGCTCCCAAAAATGTGCTTCTTTAAAGAAGCTGCCTTCTGAATGGCTGAAGAACACTGCAAATTCATCCATACCTATCAGAATACAGCTTTTAACCTAAGTCCCCACCACTCCACTACACTGCTGTGTGCATTTCGTTGTATCAGTGGGCCCTGACTGGATGTAATGGAAACATAGTCCCCAAAGCAGAATATTACATTAGAATAATCAAGTCTGTCTTAGAAAATAAATATCTTGGATATTTTCCTGCAAAAGGAGACTCACTGGACAGGGTTCCATGGCACACATGCTGTCTGCAGTGATCCAGGGCAGAATGACCCGCACTACTACATGAAAACAACATCTTTTAAATATAGGTTTCTTTAAAAGCAATAAATATTTCTTGATTAAGATCATCTATTAACCATAAAGCAGAAAAGTTTGCACGGGTTAGAGGAAAGAATCTTGGACTAAGACTCCTAATTACATTAACCCTAAAGAAATAGGATTCCTAGTATTTACAGTTACATTTCAAAAGCAGAGACTATGAATTCAGCATCATCACAGCTGCTACGTGCAGGCTTGTCAACACTGGTAAACTCAGCACGGCTGAGTGGCAGTACACTCAGGAAGGAAATGTGGAAAGCACTTCTGCAGTTCCACTCCCTGCTTATCAGCGAGCATAACAGAAGGCCTCACAAAACGACTGTGTGGAGACCCAGTTCCTTAGAAGCAGGAAAATAAAAGGTAACTTGTGTTACGCAGGTCCCAAAGCCGACGGCTCTCCCTGGGCTCCAAGGCACTCACACTGAAGTCAGGCCAAAATGCCCCATTCTGCGGAATGGATGTCCTGGACTTAGAACTGCTGATCTGCTGAACTCGCAGACCTTGGAAGTGAGCCAAAGCTTTCTATGCTCTAACAGGATCGAAGACTGTAGGAAAAACAGTCTGTTAGCAAGAAACTAGGTCGAGGGAAACTTACACCATGGGATCTTTGGAGGAAACACATGGCAACTTTTCACAAAGCCCCTCCACACAGAACAGACTGAAGAGAAAATGAGTTTCATACATTGGAGTTTGACTTCCTGTGTACCTACTGGTCATAAAGTCAAAACTGAAGATGAACAGGAAGAGCGGTCCAGAACTATGCAGAGGAGTAGCTGAGGGAAACCAGCAGGTGAGCTGTATCTGCTGTTAAAGAGCAATCAAAGAAAGCTCACTTGATGGAAGGAAATAGTCAAAGTGAGACAGAAGGCAGAACAGGGGTGATAGAGATATTTGTTGACATTGTTCTCCAGGATGCCTCGAAGAGGAAGAACTGCTGCAGCAAAACTGGAAAACACCTTCACTGCAAGGTTTCTACAAAGGCATCAAACTCTTTGACATTTTTCTCATGGACCGCCAACTTCTCTGGTAATGAGTCCTGTAAAAGCAAAGAAGGGTGCAGATCAGGACTCACTCATAGCAGATAGCGCATGCATTTACAGCTTCCTTCTATGGTAAAAATTCCTTTTCTAAGTCATCCAACCCCTCTCCGCTGCTGCAGGCTCCCCTTCCCACATGCACAGGAGTCCTCTGGTAGGATCCAGCAAGTGACCCTGAGAAGGGCACTCTGCCCAGGGATTGTTTATTCTGCAGGAAGAGGAGGTGCACTGGGGCCTAGCCTTGTGCAGTTCCTCCGACAGATGGAGCACAACAGCCTGCTCAAGTCACCTGCCTTCATCAAGGCACTTGCAGCACTTCGCCTTTGGAATTCATTTTTCCCCACAGTATGTTACAGTGGCTGCAAATTTAGTACTGAGCTCACCCAGACAACTCTTTCACCAGGATTTTACCTCTGCTCAGGCTGCAAGATCAGGCCTAGTCTGCCACTAAGCCTGATGCAG